TTCCCAAGGCCAGCGCCCCCCCCCCTTTGCATGCTGCCGGCCGCCGCCCCTGCTGGGTTTTCCTCGAGGGGCCGGACCGGGGCGGCCGGTACTGGGGTCAGGAAAGGTGTTGGGGTCGCATCTGGAGTGGGACCCGGAGAAGACTCGTCGGACCTCTCGGAGCGTTTGGGGCAAAAGTTGGCGCTCTTGCTCCTTCGCCAACGCTGTCCCCGCTCGGCCGAAGGACCTGAGTATTTGCTGACACCCGCTGCACTTCAGCCTCCGGAGGGGTCAGGTGTCGGCTCCGAAGCGGTGACCACCCTCGGGGACTTCACGCTCCAGACGGACTCCGCGCACACTGCCCTGCGGCCCGGAGCCAAACCCTAAAAGTGATCGCGGAGCCCGCCCCACCCCCGCGTGCTCTCCCGGTTCGACTCCGCTGTTCAGTTGGGTTTGACCGCGTTAAGGAGGTGTAGGGTTTCGCGTTCCCATTCCCACCCCTGCAAAACACACTTGGCATTTACTGTTTCGTAGTTAAGCTTTCTAAAAACAACCTTCAGTGCTTGAGGAAACAGTATTCCACTTTTTTCGTTTTGGATAAGGTGGTTTTTTGAGGATTCTGGGTCCAGTATCTGAAACGTGGATGTAGTTACTGTGGGTCTTTTTGTTTTTTCTTGAGCAATGTTTTCATGACTCTTTAATTCTTTTTCTCTTTTTTGAAAATAAGACGTCATTTAAAAATGTATCCCCAGTTTTGCCACTTTTTGCTAGATATTTATCGATATCATTTGGTTTTGACTTCAAGTCAATAAAAGAAAATGAAATCTCATTACATCTCATAGTTCTAGTTTGTAAATTTTTCGAGAGAACTTGGAAGCTTTTTTTTCTTATTCTCGGTTTTTAGTGTCTCAAATGACATGAATACATTCTCCTGGTAAAAAAACAAAAATAAAAAAAAATAAAAACGAAGCAAAAACCCCTTTGATCCTTCCCATTCCATTTTCAAAACAAACCGTGTTATGTCTCCTGAATATTTGTCCAGACCTTTTTCTTTGCATTCTTAAAGCACGTAGTATATATAGAAGTGCCATAGCTGTGTGTGTGTGTGAGTGAGAGAGACCTGTATATATGGTGTCATACAGTAAACATTGTTTTGCAACTTGCTTTATCTACACTACATCTTGGAGATCTTTCCATATCAGTAATATGTAGGTTTCTATATTAATGTTTTGTTATGGTTTAAGTAGTTCAGATGTGTCTGATAGAGTCAGTTAAAATTAAAACCCCACATTTTCTTCTTTCCTTCCTACTCGGGCACGTCCCTAATGGAATGCCGTTGAGGAAAATTGGAGAGTAAGAGTCCACTGACTTTAGCAGAAAGTCTAAACGATAGATTTTCAAATATACATACATAGCTACAGGGAGTTTCTTATCTTAAATAATACTTGAAGTGCGCTAATTATAAGCACTTTATAATTAGCACATTCTTACAACAGCTTCCTTTAAAAATGGTTTGCTGAGTATTTGGAAATAGCTTGTAAAGTTATTTCTTGGCCTTTGTAGATCTTTACACCTTTAGTTTATCTGACTCTTCTACACTACAGTGCTGATTTTTGGCGTTTAGGAAACAGCAAATCCGCATTAGTAATGCCTGAATTAATGAGATTTTTTAAAAAAATATTTTGAAGTACTCTTATAAAGTCTTTCTTTTAAAAAGTCCAAGTCCAAAGGTTTTAGAAAGTAAATAGATTCTTGTTTTGAGACTTCAACATTTTGATTGTTTATCTACAGTATTGTAGGTTAATTATTTTTCTAATTTATTTTCATTGTATTTCTAATGAATTCCTGCTAAGTAACAGTAAAATTGGGATAGAACAAATTGATAGATTTTTCTTGTGACATTTACATTTAAGATTATTTTGCCATAGAATGTTTTTCCCATAGTTGTATTCAAGCTTTGCAGTTGATTTTATTTAAATTTAGTTATTTCTTTTCCTCCCATAAAAGAAAGTTACAGTTCACAAAATTTTTTTATATTGTGGGAATGAAGAAAAATAATTCGTCATATGTTATTTAGGAGAAAAAATATGTTTATATGCAGCCCCAAATTCAGAAGGTTCACCTGAACCAATGGAATATTGTTTTAGTCTAGCATGGATTTCCAGAGAGTAGGTCAGGGATTGTCATCTTCATGAGGCTGATGTAAATTTCACTGTTGGATTTATTTCTTAAAATAATTGTCAAAGTCTGGAGATACTTGTAGGTGTAAATGTTTCAGAGCTCAAGCTACTGTGTCCTGAGATAGGGTAGTGCTTTTGGAATTCAGTGGTTATTATAGTAACTTATTAGCCACACGTTCTAATGATATAATAATTGTCAAAGTCTGGAGATACTTGTAGGTTTAAATGTTTCAGAGCTCAAGATACTGTGTCCTGAGATAGGGTAGTGCTTTTGGAATTCAGTAGTTATTATAGTAACTTAGTAGCCAAACGTTCTAATGATAATAATTGTCAAAGTTTGGAGATATTTGTAAGTTTAAATGTTTCAGAGCTCAAGATACTGTGTCCTGAGATAGGGTAGTGCTTTTGGAATTCAGTGGTTATTATAGTAACTTAGTAGCCAAACGTTCTAATGATAATAATTGTCAAAGTTTGGAGATATTTGTAAGTTTAAATGTTTCAGAGCTCAAGATACTGTGTCCTGAGATAGGGTAGTGCTTTTGGAATTCAGTTATTATAATAACTTATTAGCCACACGTTTTAGTGAATATGTACAGTTTTATAAAGACAAACATTGTTTATAAAAGAAACTCACTTATGTACATTTCCTCTATTCATATTTCTCTCATTTTAGCCTACAATTTGAATTCACACTTTCTAACCCCTCTAAATTAAAAGATGGTAATTGACAAAAGTAATTTTAAAGAACTTTTTGAGGGAGTTTGCTATAATGTATAAAATGTTTGAGTTATGATTAGGCGCTGTGTAGGACAGTTGGGGCAGCTGTAACAAAACGGCTATAAGCGGGGTGGCTTATAAACAAGAGAAATTTATTTCTAACAGACTTGGAGGCTGAAAGGCTGAGATCAAGGTGTCCACATGGTCAGATTCTGTATTTGGTGAGGCCTGCTTCACTCTAATCCCCTGTGGCAGAAGGGGCTAGGCTAGCGCCTAGGGCCTCTCTTTTATAAAAGCCATAATCTAATTCCAATCACCTTGGGAGATCTCCTGACACCATCGCCTTGGGGGTCAGGATTTCAACTGAGGAATTTGGGGTGGGGAAGAACACACATTCAGACTATAGCTGGCAGCCGGTGACAACTTTATAGTCGAGATTAAAATCTTTTTGTAATGAGATTAAGAATTAACATCTGAGTTTCATTAAAGTCACTTAAATTACTCTGTTTTGGCACAGCCTGAGTACATCTACATTCAGATTTACCAAATTCTTCATAATGCATTGCTAAGTTACAATATGTCAAATGAGGGTCAGTTAATTCTGACTTTTGCCTCATTAGCTACTGAGGAAAAGTTAGTGGAAATTTGGTTTTTGTTTCTTTAGTCTTGAAATTTCAGGGAAAATTGGAAAATGATTTTAGTAGTGAAAATGTCAAATATGAAAAACAGAATATGCCGATAATTCCTGTAGATAAGATCACCAAAGGCATACTGTCGATCACAACAACTGCAGACAACAGGATGGGATCACTCAACGGTGGATTCCACCCCTCCCTGGGGTAGGATGAAAGGGCTTAGAAGGGATAGGAGCATCTGGTAGCACCAAACTTACGTTACAGGTATGTTTTAGGTCAGTGTTTTTCACGTTTTGGCCACGATCCACAGTAAAAATACATATACGTGGCAACTTGTGATCCACACACACAACTAAAGAAAAAGATACTCCAAATGTGATTTAGCCTTATTAGGTGGGGTGCATTCTCATTTCTGTTCCGTATCATGTTAAAAATGTCAGTGTTGACCCAGTAGAATATCCACTGAGTCTCGGCTTGAGAGTTGCAAAACTGTACCAGCTGCTGTGTATTGTAATTGTAATTGAATGTCATTGACTTCAGGTTAGGGCAGCAGGCTTCCCAGGTATTTATAGCAGATTTAAATAAAAAAATTTTGGGAACACTGCTGATGGCTAATAAGGAAGATATAAGTAACAAAAGTTTTTATTTACACCTTACACTTTTAAATCCTCATTTCTTGGATAAATCCCTGCAGTGGGATTGCTGAGTCTTAGAAATGTGTTTAACTTGACAAGAAACTGTCGGACTTTTCCAAAAATAACTGTACTGTCCTGCGTTTCCACCAGCAGTGTTCGACGGCCCCATAGTTTCATTCTCAGCACTTGGCATTGTGAGTCTTCCTAATGTCAGCCTTTCTAGTAGGTATGTAGAGGTATTTCACTGTAATTTTAATTTGCATTTGATTCAGCCCTAAGGATAGTGATGTTGAGTATCTTTTCATGGCCATCCATATACTTTGGTTAAATGTTCAGATTTACCTTCTTAACATTGAAAGACTTCTTAATACATTCTTGATTCAAGTCCTTAATCAGATATGTATTTTGCAAATACTTCTCCCAGTTCATGCCTTTTAGTTTTTATAACAATGTCTTTTGTAGTTCATGCTTTTGTGTCCTGTTTAAGTATCTTT